CGGGTTTATGTATTTGTGATTGGCGCCATATGCGGTGTATGCTGGCGCAACGATGTTTCGTTGCCGTTTTGTTTTCTTACTTACTTTCGTCTACTACTATTAGAAACTACGTATTGTAAAACGTGTAAGGTGTTGGAATAAACTTTCGTAATTGATTTATTATAGTAACTAAAAGAATTTTATTTCATTTCTCGCAAACCACTGCCACACTCTTAAACTATCTTTAAATTAAAAGTCTCTTAGAAAAAGCAAAAGGAAGCTCAGACATAGAAACCATATGTTATGAAATTTCTGACAAAACCGATAATATAATTTCTACACTTCGTCTTACGTATCCCCTTTTAACAAGCAGAAGCATAAAAAATAGATTCACCAGAATTATGAAAAAGTTATCTCAAAATACAAAAAATACAGATACTCTCACTGACACAAGTATTGAAGAGGATACCCCACTAAATACAAACATTCAACCATGAGTGAATACATTCTACAGTGGAACATAAACGGATTCTTCCCACAAAAGGAACATCTCGGCATATTAATACAAAAATATAATCCGTATGTCATCTGCCTCTAGGAAACAAATTTCAAAAATAACTTCTGTCCTATGCTAAAGAAATTCAAAGTCTTTCACAAAAATCGCTCCCATGCAGTACACGCCAGCGGTGGAGTATCAACATTCATCAACAGTCAAATACCATGTCAAGAAGTCTCCCTCACCACACAGCTTGAAGCAGTTGCTACTACCATCATACAACCAACAGGAAACATTACAATTTGCAACATCTACATACCCAATAGCTGCAACATGTCGCTAAGTGATATAACTAATCTATTAAATCAACTTCTTAAACCATTCTTGCTACTAGGAGACTTCAACAGTCATCACTACATGTGGGGTTCGCACAAAATAGATGTAAGAGGACGTATTATTGAAAAAATATTAGACGATCCTAATATCAACATCCTTAATAATAACCAATATACCCATTTTAATAATAGTTCAAACTCCTTTAGTGCCATTGATCTTTCACTTTGTAGTTCCTCAATAGCACATTACTTTTCTTGGAGTGCCAGCTGGGAACTTTATGGCAGTGACCATTTCCCCATTATATTACGCAATACTCATGTTATTTCCCCAAGATCTTCCCAAATCGCACGATAGCTTTTTAAAAAAGCTGACTGGCCCAAATACAGCAATATTATTACAGAAAAAATAGAAACACAGATAACTCTAAACCCTTCCTTCCCATCCCTCAATATAAATACCAAATATGATATATTTACAAAAATTATCATGAACTCTGCTAAGGAGTGCATCCCTACAACATCGATTAAAAATCATAAAAATCAAGTACCATGGTGGAATGACAAATGTTTGAAAGCTATTCAAGCTTATAAACAGGCATTCCACCATTATAAACGCCACTCTACATTTGAAAACATTATTTTATACAAAAAACTAAGAGCCACTGCACGCCGTATCCTAAAAGACACTAAAAAACAATCCTGGTCCAATTTCATTAATACCATGAACACATCAACTCCTGCCTCTACCATATGGAATAAAATTAGAAAAATAAACGGCTCGAAAAATGAATCAAAAATCCACACGCTTGTTACTCCTAACAACAAAATTTTAAACGACCCATATCAAATTGCAAACCACCTTGCTTCAACCTTTGTTGAACATTCAAATGACATAAATTACTCTAATACATTTCGAAATTTTAAAGATAACTTTCAAGTCCAAATTACTAATATCCTTTCTTCAGTAACCACTTCAAATCTTTCTTTAAATTAGGGTAGAAGTACCGGTTTTGCCCACTGCACCGGTTGTGGCCACCATCTGAACTTTTGTGTTTTGTTCTAATCGAAAGAGTCTCATAGAGTTTGCCAGAAGACATTTCCGTAATCCGCAGAGATTCGCAGAATAATTACACCTATAATAACGCTGTATCGTCGACTTTACGAGAGGTATTTCCGCGATTCTCTCCTATCAGGAGAGGTATTTCCGCGATTCCTCAATCCTTACGAGAATCGACAAGACTTCAAAGTAAGCGATATTGTATTTTCAGGTTATGTTTTTGACGATTTCTACCTAGTTATGATTTGAAACGTTTTAATATCGCTATATTATATTAATCATGATGGTCAAAACCGGTACTTGCGGTGATTCACCGGTTATGGCCATCTATACTAAAACTCACTTCAATATAATCATTTTTACGAAGATAATGAATATTGATTACTTTCACCGCATCCAAGTGCTAGTAGTTATTACTAATGCATATTGGATTGGACTTTAAATTATGGCTCCAAAAAAAAAATCACAGAAGAAAAAAAAGGCAGTGCAAAAGAGAAAACTATTTTCATATTCTAAGCAGCAGGTCAACGATGCTCTGAATGCCATTCGCAGTGGTACCTCTTTTTTGAAAGCGAGTCAGACTTTTGGTGTACCACGAACAACCTTAAGAAGATTAATCCAAGGCGGTGCGAAAGGAACTTCAGGACATGTAGGTCATCCACCAGTCCTTGGATATTACATCGAAGAAAAGTTGGTCACCTGGCTTATTGACACCAGTCGAATGGGCTTTCCCATTGACAGAGAGTGTTTAATGTTCTCTGTTAAATCATTGATCGAAGCTGAAAATGTTACCACTCCTTTTAAGAACAATATCCCTGGTCGAAAATGGTTCGAGTCATTTATGAGGAGGCATCCAGAATTATCACAGAAAAAAGCTGAATATTTGAGTCGAACACGGGCTGCTGTGACTGAAGATAATATTTGAAAGTGGTTTGCAAGTCTTGAAACATTCCTTGGCGACGATATACAAGTATTGCAATATTCTCGACGAATTTTCAACATGGACGAGACTGCTGTTTTTCATGCTCCGAAAGTGGATTAGTTTTAGGAGAAAAAGGCAAAGCTGTGTACGACGTATCATCCGCAAGCGATAAAGAAGCTGTTACAACATTATTTTCCGCCAATCCTGAGGGAAAATTGGTTCCATCCTTGACACTTTATAAGTATATACGTTTGCCGAAAACCTGCATCGATGCTGCTCCGCCAGGGTGGGGAATCGGAAAGACTGAAAACGGTTGGATGGATAGCGCCTCATTTTACGAGTACATTACAAATATTTTTCATCCATTCTTGCTCGAAAAGGAAATTGCTCTCCCAGTTATTGTGTTTGTGGATGGCCACGTATCCCATCTTTCATATTATCTTAGCGAATTCTGCAGAGCAAATGGTATAATTCTGTGCTGTCTGCCTCTAAATACTACTCACATTATGCAGCCGCTCGACGTCGCCTTCTTTGCTCCTCTTAAGCAGCGGTGGACAAAATTTGTCAAGATGTGGCGACTACAACACGACGGCGTCGACATCCAAAAAATCGAAATTCTTCGTCCACTTTCGGAAATAGTTCAAAACCCTGAGTTTTCAGTAAATATCAAATCTGCATTTCGAGCTAGCGGTCTGTATCCACTCGACCCAAATGCTGTGGATTACACTAAATGTATCCAACGTAAACGAGCTACTGAAGATAGAGAGCCATACAAAAGATAGCAACATTGAGATCACGAATGTGAGAGCTCTTCACACCTGCAATACCTGGAAAGCACGATCCCTCCTGATACTTTAAGGCAGTTCGAGCAAACGTTGGCTGCGAACACCGATTGGATTGGTGATATTGAATATAAAGCATTGTACAAAACTTGGTATCGATTTCGTCAAGAATCGAGCGGAAGACTTCGAGAGATTTCAAATTCCCAAAATATGGGAACGCAAAACAACGATTTTCCAGCATCCGCAATACTTACGACTGGTCGGGATATTATCGAGTTCAAGTTTCCCGAATTGCAAGTGGATCCAGATGGTATGTATTTGTGTGAGATTTCCAGACTACAGAAGTAGAAATTAATATTTATATTCGAAAAATTGTAAAAATTGTGTAATGATATCCCCATGCGTTTCTTCGCGATCATGAAATTTTTATATTAATGATTGTTTAATGAACATTACGGATAACGAATATATAGGTTTCGAAGTTACGGACATCTCACTCCTCAGCAAAGTTGACGGTGAACTTATTAACTTATTGATAAGCTTGATGATAATCATAACTTTACAAGTGTAGCTGACATAAGTATCGATGTTTCTCCGTCAAACACGACCGGTAATTTTTTGCAGAATGCAACTCTAATAACTGACGATGTGTTCTCTCCTGCTCTTCCGAAACATAAAAGTAGCAATGAATCGGTTGCAACACATGTGCCAATAAAAAAAACAAACATAATCATTTCAAAACTAATCGACGAAACTTTGAAAAAAATTCTGGTTTATCCTGACCCGAAACCTAACAAAAAACGACAATACAATCGTCAACAGATACCGTGTGTTCTGACATCCGATAAGTGGTTAGAGATAATAGCAATCAAAGAGTGTTAAGTGTGACAATGTATACCAAGCCCAGGTATGTGCGCTGTATGAATGTGTGTATGTATTGTGCCCGTACATATGTACCGGCGGGTCACCGCGAATAAGACACGTGTTTTAGTTCTATCTCGTATGTCGAGCAGTAACCACGATAACTGAATAAAAGTTACATATAATTAATACTAAATAGCTGACTTATTCCTGTTAGTCAGAACACCCTTACCGGGGTCTAGAGGACCTGGGGCGCTCACAGTGGTGACTCTAAGCCACCGTGAGTCCGTTCTTTCTATTTAAAGGAGGTCCCAGGTCTAAAATCCTCTCTCCCCACCTCCTCGTGGTGGACCCTGAGGACGCTTGGTACAAGTGTCGCTAACGGGGAGAGGGGTATTCGGTGGGAAGTAAATCCTGAGATATATGGGGCGATGCCGGCGGGATCTTCGGATCCTGGTAGGGCCTCCCAAGCCGGTAAGGCCCACATGGAGAAGGATCGAAATCCACCGACTACGGACGGACTTAATGGACAAGGATCAGGGCAAGTAGGGAGATATTATTAAAAACTATGGACATGAACAAGGAACATAACAAGATTACGAGTGCAGAGGAATTCGGAAGCCCCAGCACCGGTGTGGAGGGTGTGACAAAGCAGGCACTCATCGCATCGTCATCCTACGACTACAATCCGGAAGAGGTGGTCCCCTTGGCCTCGACGGATTTGGCTACAAGGGAAGAGTTTTCGGAGGGGTTGGCCTCTTTGGCCCACCGAAAATTAAAGGTGTCAAAGGTAGAAGAATCGAGTAGGAAGGTGATGATAGTCAAGTTACGAGATATCTTGACAGAACCAGAGCCAGAAAATGAAAAGAATAAAGAAAAGAACTCAGAGTGGAAGGTGGAAAAGAGTATGAAAGTAGAAAGATGGGATCAGATATCAGATGAAGAAATGATGGAAATTGAAAGAGATACCCAAGTTAAAGGAAGAGAAAATCCTAGTAAGGATAAGTTTAAGAAAACAGAACCAAATATGAAATCAATAGAAGTGATACCCAAGGGGATTACCCTTACACCGATACAAAGACCGGAAACGAGGTCAAACTCGGAATCGTCGGAAACAGAAAGTAGTATAAGGAAAGGTAGCCTTCCGGAGTCACAACAGCTGAAGAAAATCCAGGGTAAAATAAAATATTATAGGAAGTCGGAGGAAGTTCCAGCGAAACAAAAATATAAAGGAAAGGAGACATATAACAAGGACATGGAACAATTAAAAGATCTTCTGGAAGAGTTAAAAAAGGACAACCGAGAAATAAAGAAAAGAATGGAAGAAATTTTAAAGGAAAATAAGAAACTTAAAATTATTATAAATAGAACCAAAGAAGAAAATTTTAGACTGAAAAATATAGAAAAGAGGAAAGGAGACATGGAAACAGATTTCGACACAAGGAGGGCAATCTTAGATTCTTCCAGGGAAATGGAGACTTTGGCAGATTCGGAGGCGTCAACAAGTACCACGAATATAATAATGAAAAGAAAAAGGAGAAGATCCAAAGAGTTAACTCCTCCCTCCGAGGAAAAAAAGAAAAGCAAGACAGAAGGGATAAAGGAGCCAAAAAAAAGAAATGGTATAAAGAATAAGAGAGACAGGAAAGAAAGAGAGAAGAAAGTGAACTACGATTCATCGGAGACAGAAGAAACCACACAAGCTAAACAGGACAAGCAAAAAGAATTAGGATTCGGAGACTTGTTAATCGAAACATTAACGGATCTTACAGACAAGTTAGTTTCGACAATCGATACATTAAAACATGGACAACTACCCGAAAAGAGAGAAACCAAAGAAGTTAGGCAAATATCAACTACGAAAGAAACATGGGCAAAAGTTGTAGGTACCAAGAAAACAGATAATGGGAATGTCAGGAAGAACGAAGAAGCATTAACTGCCACTGCCACGGAATATACCGAAGATGGCAGGTACTCAAGAAGCATCAGAAAGAAGAAACCGAAATGGGCGGCACCTAAAAAAGATCCAGTTATGATTAGGATTGACGAATCAAATAATTATAAACAATCGTATGAGAGGATTAAAAACATAATAGAGAAATACAAAGGTATTAAAAGACTAAGGAAAAGTAGGACTGATCAGTTGATCATAGAAATGAGTGACAGCGGAGAAACAGAAATTCTAAAGGAAGACATCATAAAAAATATTGGAAAAGATCAGGTCAAAACTCTACAGAAGAAGTTCGACCTGGAAATAATAGACGTAGATCCAATGGTGGACAAAAATGACGTGATGCAAGCATTGGAAAATATTAATATCAAAAAAGAAGATATGATTGTTAAAGTACTAAGACCGACTAGACTTGGTACGCAGAAGGCGATCGTGGAATTGCCGGTTTCTTACATCAAACTTATAAGAGAGAAAAAGAAGATAAAAATAGGAGTGATTAATACGAAAATGGAAGCGGCACCGAAATCAATCAAATGCTACAGATGTCATGGATTAGGTCATTACAGCACGAACTGTAAAGAAAAAATCAAGGACAACTTAAGGTGCAGAAGATGCAACACAGATGGCCATAAGGAAGAGGAATGCTCGAAACCTTTCCAATGCCGTTCATGCGTACATCAAAGGCTCCCATTTGAACATCGAATGGGAACAATGAGCTACCTAGTATTCAGGAACACCATAAAAGAACTGAAACGGCAATTTAATATATATTATGCGGATACTGCAAAATAATGTCAACCACTGCAGAGCAGCACAAATTCTATTACACAAGTTCTTTGAAGAGACCGCGACAGACATCGCTTGTCTACAAGAGCCATATATTAAATCGATCAAAAGAGGGATATTTTCCAAGGACCGAAATGCGGGGATTATGATTTTAAATAAGAAGTACTAAATACCAAATGATAAATTAATTATAGGGGAATTTTATGTGGGAATCGACTATGATTTTCTGAAAATAATTAATGTATATATGTCACCAAGGAAAAGGGCAGTATCTTTTGAGAATTCCTTAGAGATGCTTAAAAATGAAATAAATAAAACACGAGATAAACCGACACTAATTTTAGGAATAATTTTAAATTGTACAATTAATAATAATATGATACCAGGCGTAATGACGGGTTTGGATTACACGTTCAATAGAGGAACTAAGAAATCGAAAGTAGATATATATTTTTATAGTAGACATTTAATGAATAAAATCAATTGCAAAATTTTAAATAAAGAAAATTTATCAGATCACAAAATATGTATTCATTCAATAGACATTAACGAAGAGGATAGTTTGAGAACATTGATGAGACATAGAAGAAACTGAAAATGGAACACTAGAAATATCAATACAGATGAACTCGTGCAATATTTCAACAATTTAAATTCAAGACTTAACTGGACAAATATAAATTACAGGACAGTAGAAGGCTATTTTCACAACATTTTAAAAACGTTTAAAAACAAGCTTAAAGAGATTTATTTTAATCAGTCACATTTTAATTGTAAAAACTGGTGGAATCTAAAGATAGAGGAATTGAGGAAACAGTGTCATGATAACAGACGACGTTTACAAAGATATAGAAGAAGGTTCAGGAATAATATAGACAGGGAAGAAGAGCTCAGATTAATAGAAGAATTCAGAAAATCCAAAAAAAATGATACAATTCAAGATTAATAATGCAAAAATAGATTCATGGAAAAAATTTACAAATATCTTAGAGAAAGACGTATGGGGCAAACCATCCCATATAATCAGGAATATATATAAAGCGAAATCACCAAATATTGAGACGTCTATTTTAGAGGCGAAAAAGATCGTAAAAGAATTGTTCCCGAAAGAACGCAACAGAATTTATTATGATCACGTGAACACCCATATTCAAAAAATGGATCAGATTACGGAGGAAGAAATTATGGGTATCATTGCGAACCTTGACTCTAGGAAAGCGGCTGGTCCGGATAATCTCCCCATTTCGGTTTCAAAATTACTGCTACAATCAGACATTCGTAATACGACTAAATGTTTTAACTTTTTGATCGATAATATTATTATTCCTAATAAATGGAAAAAAAGCAGAGCGATTCTTTTGAAAAAAACAAACGAAAATAATATGACAGCGACAAATTTTAGGCCGATTTGTATAAGTAACGCATTTAAAAAATTTTTGAAAAAATAATAGAAAAAAAAATTTACGAGCAACTGGGTCTCCATCCTTTTAAATGCAAACAATATGGATTTTGCAAAGGAAAATCGACACTAGACGCATTAGAGCACGTACACAACAGTATTTTAGAAAACAATAAAAAGAGAATGTTTGGAATTTTTGTAAGTCTAGTCAAAATTTTTTAAGAGATAGATTTATTCAATTTAAAGCGTACGAAAGATGGTTCACTTTTAAATCCAACAGAGGAGTACCACAAGGCTCAATTCTTTCGCCTATTTTTTGGAACTTAACTTACGATGAGCTCTTAGATATCAAATTAGATGAAAATTGCGAATTATTAGCTTACGCGGATGATTTGGCAATCCTTGTTACCGGTTATAGTATAGAATCAATAAAAAGTACCATAGAAGTAACCATAAATACCACAATAATACCGTGGATGAATAGTAAAGGACTGAAATTGTCGGCAAAAAAACAAAGATAATATCGATCAATAACAAAAACATTCCACATAATTTTAGAATTAGAATTGGAGAGAATTTTATAAATTTGGAGACAGAGTTAAAATATTTAGGTGTAAATTTTAGTAGACATAACAATTTTTATGGGCATGTTGGTAAGATCTGTGACAAGAGTAGCAAAATTTTAGGACAACTAACAAGAATTATGGGAAATATATCAGGCCCTAAATTTGAAGGTAGGAGATTATATTACAATATAATAAATTATATTACAATACAATATAACAAAAATGTTAAAAGATCATCGTCGATTGTTGTCGACGGATTCAGCAACTAAAAAACGACAATGGAAAAGAATACTGCAATACACAGTTTGATAATTATTTAAAGGAATGTGGTATTTGTAGAAGACTTACAGTCCCGTATACGCCACAACAAAATGGGATAGCTGAGAGAAAAAATCGTACCTTAATAGAAGCGGTAAGGTGCATGTTAACTCAATCAAATATGCCATTATCATTTTGGGGTGAAGCGGTAATGACCGCAAATTACATACGAAATAGATGTCCAAATGCAGGAATAAAAGGAGAAATTCCATTTCGTGTATGGCACGGTAAAATGCCTAATATTAAGTTCATAAGAGTATTTGGTACTAAAGATTTTATTTTAGATAAAACCCAGAAGAATAAATTAGCAGCTCGAGAAATAGAAGGGCAATTAGTAGGCTATTCCGAAGAGTCAAAGGCATATTGAGTCTGGGTACCCTCACATGGAAGAGTCCACGTGTCGCGAGACGTTAAATTCATAAAAGAAGAAGGTTGCTGCACAAAAAGTAAGCAAAATGAAAACAACCATGGTAACGCAGAAATTTTCAGAGAAATTGAGATTAACTTAACCGAGGAAAAAGACAATGATAAAAACGAGGACGAAGAAAATGATAAAATCACAGAAAAACGACTACCTGGAAGACCTACCTTGTTAAGAACAAAGAAACCCGGAAAGTCAAGAAAAGTCTATAGAACATTGTCAAATATTTCAGAAAATAATGAATTAGAGAATAGTGACTATGAAGGAAACGTTTTCTCAGATGCAGAATGAAACTTTGCAAGTATAAACTATGAAGACGCTTTAAGTGGTGAAAACAGCGAAGAATGGAATGATGCTATTTATAAGGAGTTCCGACAATTAATTAAAAACAACACATGGAGTATCGTGGAAAAAAACGAAGGAGCCAATGTCATCGGCTCAAAACTTGTACTATCTAATAAGACCGATGAAAAGGGAGTAACCAAGACAAGAAAAGCTCGCCTAGTCGCTAGAGGATTCGCACAAATCTACGGACTTGACTACTTCCAAACATTTTCGCCAGTGGTAAGACTTGATTCTGTACGAATTTTAATAGCTCTTGCTGCTCAATTGAATCTTCAAATTGATCATTTAGATGTAACTAATGCGTATTTGAACGGCGAGTTAAGCAAAGTTGTACATATGAAACTCCCACCTTTGCTTAAAGAGTTTTTAAACCAAATTATTAAACGCGAAGAAAATAAAATAATTGTAAACAAAGCAAAAGAAATGTTAAATAAAATTAGCATAGGAAATAAAATTTGTTTATTAAATAAATCTCTTTACGGCTTAAAGCAAGCGGGTAGAGTATGGAATAAAAAAGTAGATAACGTACTTAAAAGTTTAGATTTAAAAGTATCAAAAGCGGAACCATGCTTATATTATGATATAAATCAAGATTACACAATTATTATTGTCGTGTATGTGGATGATATGCTCATCGCGTATAATAACGATTGCAAACTCAATGAAATAAAAAATGAACTAAAAATAAAATTTGAAATAAAAGATTTTGGAAAAGCAAAAAATTGTATCGGAATAGAAATACATAAGAGCAATAATAAGATTTATTTGTACCAAAGAAAGAAAATAAAGAAGCCATAAAGCGATTCAACTTGATAGAAGCGAAAACAGTGGCAACGCCCGCCGATCCTAGTGTAATATATACGTTAAAGAAAAGCGATGAAAAATACGATCTACCATATAGGGAATTGATAGGCACATTGATGTATATAGCAACAGCAACAAAACCAGATATAATGTATACCGTTGTGTTCTTATCCCAATTTAATAATTGCTTTTCCAAGCAGCATTGGAACATCGCAAAACGCGTCATTCGATATCTAAAAAACACTATAAATCTAGGACTAGTATACGAAAAGAAAAATGAAGTTAATATAGAAGGTTACGTAGACGCGGATTGGGGTTCCAATACTCAAGATAGAAAATCATTTACAGGGTATGTTTTCAAATTGAGTGGATCACCACTAATATGGAAATCCCCAAAAACAAAAAACAGTCGCATTATCCACGGCTGAAGCGGAATATGTAGCAATAGCCGAATCTGCGAAAGTAATTATATCTCTGAAAAATTTATTATCAGAAATGAAGTTAGAGGCAGAAGTAAACTTATATAACGATAATAAAAGTGCAATAATGCTAGCGGAGAATAATGTTTTCCATGCGCGAGTAAAGCATATTGACCTAAGATACCATTTTATTCGTGATTCACTGAAGGAAGGATTATTTAATCTATCTTATTTACCATCTGAGGAAATGCCTGCCGATGTTATGGCAAACCTTTATCCAAAATAAAACACAATAAATGTGTCAGTAACATGGGCATGAAAGAGATCGAAATCAACCTGTCTTAAATTATATAGATATACATTGAGAGGGAGTGTTAAGTGTGACAATGTATACCAAGCCCAGGTATGTGCGCTGTATAAGTGTGTGTATGTTATTGTACCCGTACATATGTACCGGCGGGTCACCGCGAATAAGACACGTGTTTTAGTTCTATCTCGTATGTCGAGCAGTAAACACGATAACTGAATAAAAGTTACATATAATTAATAGTAAAGTATAATTAATATTAAATAGTTGACTTATTCCTGTTAGTCAGGACACCCTTACCCAACAAAGAGAACGAAAAAAAATCTTTGAAGCGAATGGTTACAGTAACAAAAGACGTTGAAGATGTCGGAAACCAAAAAGAAGATGCAGCTTTACAGGAATCGATCACCGCGGCGATTGTACCGTC